ATCTCCTGTGCATCGGGTAGAGGGAGCTAGGGACAGAATGGCCTTGGTTTGAGGACGATCTTATCAAAAACGAAGCTAAGAGTGACCAGCTTTTAGAGACCAAAGAGGGCCAATGGGTTCCTTCTGAACTCTTACTGGGATGGGAGTGGCTGAGAGAGCTGTAGACCTGAATCCTGGGGAGCACAGCTGAGATCCCAGCAGAAAGGAGCCCATGTGTTAGTAACCACTATAGCCACAAGAAAGTCAGGGTCAGGGAGTGGTGGATTACTACTCGTCTCTCTTGTCCAGTCTCCTATCATTGACTCCAAGACATCTGGGTCTCAGAGAGTCCAAGATGCAAGGCAGGCAGATACCTTACAGATCACCTGGCCTAGCACTCATTGTATAGATAAAGAAGACTCAGAGGGGATAAGAAGGATCCTGACTGTACCACCCACCATGTCAAGTCATCTACCAGCTTGGTTATAAGACTTCAATTTGACCTTATCCTATGGAACTCCAGGCTTATCTGCCTGCCTGATGGATTCCTCCCCAGATTAAGTGTTCCCTCCACCCACATTGTTGCTCTATGTTTGGACCCCTCCAGATAGGCCTGATGGAGGAGCCCTGATTGGAAAATCTCCCCTCCCCTTTCCTGTCTGAGAATAGAGCGTCTTAGGGTGCTCCCTTTGCAACTTGAGATGTCACTGTCTTTCTATTACAATGTCTTTTCCACTCTGCCTCTCCCTTTCTCTTGCTCTTCTCCAAACCCTATCCCCTCCACCCCCACCTGCCATCCCTCTTCTAGATCGAGCCCCAGAACCGCTGAGATGAATCTCTGCAGCTTTGTGGTTCTGGGCTGTGTTCTTCGTAATTGAGTTGTGCTCCGTAGTCGTGATGGGGGAGGGTGGCGCTGGCTGCCAGTGGGTCCAGTCCTCCTTCTGCTAGCTTAGCCCCTTCCACTGTGATCCAGCAGAGAGGGTAAGGAGGAGAGAGCTGGGGATGCTTCCTCTTCCCCAGCCCTCCTTCTCCAGCTATCTGTCTCCCCCTCTCCCCCTCCCTGCTTCATTTCCAGCACAAATCACATGGTGACAGCCACATCCAACCTTTGGGGAAGGGTTTGTAAATGTGTCTTCCTTAGCTGTGATCTCCAAATTGTTCCTTTTATTGCATTTGTCACGGTGAAGATTAAAGTCCCTGGGTGGCCTGCACCACAAATCACGAAGCCTGCTCAGGGAGCGACTGCAGGTTGGGAACTGATGGAGGGGTCTGGGCCCTGCTACAGGGTGTGCATGCATGTGTATACTCACAAACACCCAATCCCATGTGTGATGAGGACTTGTACTTAGGAATGGAAAGATGTGCTGCTGATATTGTCCTTCTGAGTTGTCACCCCCCTTTATAGCACAGTTTTTGACCTCTTCCTCCAGGCTGTCTTCCAGGATCTCCCTGCCCAATCTGTGGTTGGCATCACCATCTACATTGCTCTTTCCCATCTCTTCCATTGCGGGGAGGGAAAGTTGTGGTCACATCAGAGATATTTCAGGATATCCCTCTGGATCTCTGGTCACATTGATCTCTAGATCACATCCTGGATGCGTTCTGTCGCCCAGGATGGGGTGCAGTGGCACGATCTTGGCTCACTGCAGCCTCAACATCCTAGGCTCAAGTGATCCTTCTGCCTCAGCTCCCCCAAGTAGCTAGGACTAAAGGTGTGCACCACCATGCCCAGCTAAACATCCTGGCAGCACTCTGAATGGATCAAGGACAGTTTGGGCCCAGAGCTCCCAAGGGACTCACATCCAGGCCCCAGAAGAACAGCTGATCTTACCCTGTCCCAGCACCCCCATATCCTGACTTTCTTTCTTATCCTGGGACACAACTGGGTGCAGAGGGGGCACAGCTGACATGGAGGAAATACTGCTGAGGAACCGAGAGGACAAAAGCTCCCCTGTACATGTGCACTGAAAACAGCCCCCTTATGAGGTGGGCTTCCTGCCTGTCCCTCATCCACATTCATAACATTCAAATTTATGCTGTAATCTCCACCGCTCCATATGTATGAGCCTTTGATGGGTGTTTGGGTTTATGGGATGCACCCGGCCCTCCGTTCCCTCACCCACCCACCGCCTCCAACCACTGCAAAGATGCTCGTACATAATTGACATCGGCAGATTCTTTCATTATACAAGATTTAGCATCTGCTCAGGGATCGCTTGCTCCTCACTCACTATAGATGACTTTTCCCCGTGTTTCCTATTATCAATTCAAATTAGCCCCATTTCCCCACCCGACCAGTACAGCGTTTACACTTGACAGTGAGGAAACAGCAAGGCTATAATGGGCTCCTCAATTATTTAGGCCCAGGTAGGCCAGGACCCAGAAAGCCTTGACAAGGGGATATGCTGGGGTGGGGTCCTTGTAGAGGGGAGGATAGGGCGGCAACTACTTTGTCCCTGTTTGGCCTTATAGCCCTCTACCCTCTCACTTTCCACCCTGGGACCCCTCCCTTCCCCGCCCACACACACATAGGTCTCTAAGGGGCAAGACAGTCCCTTCCTGCCCCCATCCTCAGCAGCAGCTCTCTCCCCCTCCATCCCGTATTTGCTCCACATGAGTACCCAATGGGCCACTGGCTAAACCAAAGAAGGGGTCATTAGCACCTGCCAGGCTACCCCTCCCCTGAAGACGTCCCTGTCTGAAGGTTCATCTCTCTCCATGAGGGTGTGAGGTGGTGCCCCAGGATTTCAGAGATCAGCAGAAGAGCCAGAAATCCAGCTGTAGAGCCCTAGGAAGAGAGAGATAAAGCAGGCCCAGATGCAGAGAGACACACATGAGAGCCTGAGGGAGCCGAGAGTGTCGCTGCTGGGGTTTCGGGAGAAGCCACAGGCAAGAAGAAAGGCTTGGGCAAGGCCCCCTGTTAGACCACACGGACTGTGCAGAGCTGTAATTAGGTCAGTTCTGCCCACCTACTGCTCTGCTATTCCAGGCCTAGCCTCCTGTAATAGCTCTTGGGCCCAGTAGCTATTCAGGAATCAGGGGCTCTCCCGAGCTCACTAAATGGCCTAAGTACAGGGGCAGAAGCTCCTGGTCAGCACCAAAGCCCTAATCCCTCCTTCCCATCAACCCTCCTTTCATCTGAAGCAGGGCCCCAGGCAGTCAGCTCAGCTCAGCAAAGCCCTATGCCCACTTCTGCATCCCACTCCTGTCCCCTTCCTCAGCTCGGATCAGGTTCCAAAGGCAGCGATGGGGAGGTGACAAGCAGGGGTCGGAGAGGCTCTGGGATTAGCAGTGTCTTTCCCATGCTCGGCTTCTTCAGAATCAAAGAATTCCTCCGTCTGATTGGATTTACCCTAAGTCACAGGCGTGTGGGACCTTCCTTCCCTCAGCAACAGCTGGAAACAGCCCTAAATATGATTAATTAACGCCATAAAAAGCCCTGGACACAATTAAGATTTATGTGTATGCGTGTGTGTGTGTATGTGCACGCATGTGTGCGTGTGTTGCAGGGGAGTGGGTTGTGGGGGGTGCTTGAGTGGGGGGAGCACGGGTGGATTACCAACCACCTCCAGGGCCCTCGGGGGGAGTGGAATGACATGTCCTCAGAGACATTGCTTTGACATCCATACCAGGCAGGGGTCATTTTATCCAGCCTCCAGCTTTTGAGCAGATTAGCCTTTCTGTGTCCCAGGGGCAGGGGCTATTTTCTTTTCTCTCTTCTCTGGCCAGCGAGGGGAGTTGGGGGTGGTTCTGGGGCAGGTGCCTCATCTTTCCTCTACCACAGCAGAATATTCTTCCTCAAACCTCAATTCCTTTTGCTGGGTCACTCTAGGAATCAGGGACACATACACAGTCCCCAAACATAGCTGCACTGACAAAGCCCAAATGGGACATAAAATAGGAACCTCAGAGGAATCTGAAGAAATTAGCTGCCAGACAAACCTCCCGCCCTTGGAGACAGCTCAGTTTCATCCTCAAAGACTCATGTCTCCAAGACAAGACAGAGGTCCTTGGACTTTCTCCTCACCTCTAAGATGACAAAATCTTATTTGTTGGGCTGTCTACTGCCTCCTGGCCCACCCCCATGTGATTGGGTACTCATTCTCTAATGTGGTGACATCCCAGCTTCAAAAAGACACTGGTGATGATCGACATTATTTATAATCATGGAAAGGAAAGGGACAGGAGCACAGAAAACGCCAGTGAATCATTCAGAAATCAGTTATCAGGATCTTTGCAAGAGTCTTGGATTTTAATTTATTTTCTTTTATTTATTGCATTTGATTGATCTACTTCTGTTTTGCTGAAATGACTAAGCCTAGGAAGAGGTTGCTTAGGTTCTAGCCCTGATGGCCAAAGAGGAAATATACCAGAAAGAGCATGGAAAATCCCAGACTCTACATCCCCTCTTGGGATCCTTCTGGGGTCAATGGCCTGAGTACCTGGGGCTTCTGCTTTATGGCATGGTCCCCCAGGGAGGAACCCAGGAGGTCTTGAGGTTGCCTAGGTATTCCCTGGGAGAGGAGCTTCACACATCCTGGTGGAGTTACTAACAAACATGGATTAAATCGCTGGCACTAGAGTTCAACTTCCTGATATCAAGGCTAAGTAGGGCCAAGGGAGTGTGTAGATTCTCTGTGCCACTTGTCTCCATGAAGAGGATCACCCTTGCCTGGAGGCAGGAGAATGGCAGAGATGAACTTTCAGTGACTTTTTCTAGGACCCTGAGATTTAGGAGCTTTTGTGGAATTCCTGAATTTTTAGCTGATGACTGAGTAGAGGAGCTAAGTTCTACTCCAGGGCTCCAGAGTGAAAGGTGTGCCTTAAAGAGGGGAAAGGGGAATCAATTTTCCCCAGAAGCTCCAGTACAGGCTTGTTGTGAGGATCAAAAAAGCAGGAGGGTATGTCCGGGGGTCCCCAGATGCATGTGTGATGGTGCTACTACAGGGGTCAGCTGTTCAGAGCACCCCACCCCCACCATTTCCACTCACACCCTTTGGGTTCTATACAGTTCCACTCCTATCACCTCTCCGTCTTATGGCTAAGATCAAATGTAGTATGTTTTTACCAGCTTAACATCTGATATATCCTCTATCTGAGGACAATAAATTAAATGGGTTTTTGGAGCAGGGGGATAGAAAAGAGCTTTCTCCATCCACTCCTATGCATCAATCTGGTATTGCAGGACCTCCAGGAATGGTGCATCACCAGAGGGCAAGAGAGAGTTCCACTCCCAGAGAGAGGGGTGAGGGGATGAGACGGTGTGAGCAGCAGACTTGGTGCCAGTGAGCAAACAAGGAAGAGGAGGCAAGAGGTGGGAGGCTGGCAGGAGGTGGACAGGAAGGCAGGCTGCCTGGAGATGGGCCACTCCCTTGGGAGTGTCCTTGTGCTTTCTTTACAGACTCTCTACTCCTTTGGGGCGTGGTATTGGTATACTTGCAGATGGCTCTGCACATCCTTATGGGTCAGTGTATCTGCACGTGTGTTATCTCTCTACTCTGTGACAGTACTTGGTGACCATGTGGCTGAGGATACCTGTGTGAAGAACAAGAAACTAGGGGGTTGCCCAAAGAGCACTTGGGTGTTTGGTTTGATAGCACAGTGTTTAAAACAAACATGAAATTGAATACCTTTAGGAAAACATGCTTCTCAGGTGCAGCCACAGACCCTGCCACTCTACTGCATTTCACTACTTGTGTCACTTTTATAATCTGCCTAGCACTCAAGTCTTGACTCTGTGATCTCTTGAAGAAAAGGAGACAGGCCTCTATTTGTCCATCAGTTGGCTTCTGAATCATTAACTTCCCTCAGAGATAATGGCTGGGGTCCAGCCACCAGCTTCTCTGGGACTGAAGGGTACTGGAAGCCACCTTTTTTTCTTCTGAGTCAAAAACATCTGTACAAGGGAAGTAAACAAGTCCCAACCTTCCACGAGAGAAATGTCCAAGATCATATAGTGATACTAGCCTCCAGGCTGCCTCCGTGGGACTCCAAAACCCCTATTTTGCACACTGCCTCTTCCTTCATCAAGTGGGTTTGAGCTGAGGCTGAGATATGAGAGCTAGAACGAGAACAAGCCCAGAGACCCTGAGGGACACACTTGTTTCCAACTGGTGTGTCCTGGACATGGGCCCCTACCAGAGGATGGAAAGGGATTTGGCCTGACATGCTGTTGGGATGGCCCTTGGGTAGACTCATTGCTCAGTCCATTGTGTAGCCTCTCAGGTAGGCAGAGCCCTCCTTCCTGCCCAGCATCATCATATCACCACCCTGCCCCATCTGCCATCTCCCTGGGAGAAAGGGAAGTTTGGAGGCCAAAAGGAGGATCGATTCTATTTTGTTTTGGAAGCTTGGAAGAGTAGCTGGAAAACATGTGGGGCTTGGTTTGAGGCTGGGGACAGGGCTGGCTCTTAGTGCCTGCTTCATCCTTGCAATCAGTTTTCCAGAACTCTCAGTGGAGCTTATAGGGTCAGGCTCTACCACAGGGGACCCATACTAAGATCATATCTATCCTGGGATGCCCCCACATAGGCAGCAGCTTCTAAAACATGAATCTTGATATAAGCCTTTTACTTGACTTCTAAGAAGCTTAGGATGGTGATGGGAATGTAAGAAAGGGTAACCTTTGTAAGGAAGCTGATCTTTTATAGCTGCTGTTTACTGAGTGTCATATTTTGAGGTGTTTTTTTTTTAGTTTTTTTGTCATTTATTTTGTGTCAGACAGTGAACTGAACCTTTTACTTACTTTATTTCATTAAATGTTTATAACCATCCGGTGAGGTAGGTGGTATTATCTCCTATTGCTCAGATAAGGAGATTGAGAATCTAAGATAAGGAGATTGAGAATCTAAGAGGTTAAAAACCAGTCCAAGACCACATAGCTATTAACTGGGGAATCTGGCTGTTTCCACTCAAGGGCACTACCTTCCTCAATCAATACAAAACCTGAGGTCAGTGAGTAAGGTGGGGGTAGGGTAGGGTTACCAGATTTAGTAAATAAAAATACAGGATGCCCAATTTGAATTTCAGACAAACAACAAATAGTTAAGTATAAATACATCCCAAATAGTGTGTGGGATATACTTACACTAAAAATTTGTTGTCTGAAATTCAAATTTAATCAGGTGTCCTGTATTTTATCTGGCACTTCTTGATGGGAAGTGGGGTGAGGGCCTGGCCCAGCTCTGCCCCCGTTTCCTAAGAAACTTCCTGAGAGGTACAGGCCTCAAGTACGGGATGGTCTGAGCTCAATCAGATTGTGCAGGCTGTGCTGAGAGCCCTTTTCTCCCTTCCTGAGTGTGGCTAGGAAGAGGCTGGGCTTGGAGTGTGGGCTACCCTGTCCAGCCTCCCAGGCTTTGTGCTGAGGACGTCAGAGATCACACCCATTTACCAATCAAAAGGGATTTTTTCATCCCAGCACTAGGCTGCTCAACCACAAGTGGTGCACCAGCACAGACATTTGGCCGGGTGCGGTGGCTTACGCCTGTAATCCCAACACTTTGGGAGGCCTAGGCGGGCGGATCACCTGAGGTCAGGAGTTGGAGACTAGCCTGGCCAACATGGTGAAACCCCGTGTTTACTAAAAATACAAAATTAGCCGGGTGTGGTGGCGCACGCCTTTAATCTCAACTACTCTGGAGGCTGAGGCAGGAGAATCACTTGAACCCGGGAGGCGGAGGTTGCTGTGAGATGAGATCTATTGCATTACAGCCTGGGCAAAGAGTGAAACTCCATCTCAGAAAAAAAAAAAGCTTCAAGCTGTCGGCATGGGAAGAAATGAAACCTTCCTGGCATTCATTGAACGATTTAGCACTGAATTAGACCGTGCGGGTGAGGGTGGAGTCAATCCGGTCAAGGTTTAGTAAGGTCTAGCCCAGCCCTGCCTTTGGGGCACCAGCTTCTTCTATTTTCCCTTCCGGGGACTCTAACTCTGGGCGGGCCTGAGGGGGGCAGATGGTAGGAGGGGCTCTTTCTGACCCCTAAATCCCCAAGCTCTCCAGCCCCCCGCTGCCCCACCTGCGTCAGGCCTCGGGCTGGGCTCAGGCCCCAAGCGCTGCCCCGGCTCCCTCTCTGGTTCCTGGCCTCCGTCCTCCGCAGCTGAGCCCCGCTCGGCTCCACCCCAGGCTCCATCGCCTGCTCTATCGCTGGCGCCCGATCCGGCTCCCGTTCCCACTCCCGGCCCGGTGTGCTCAGCTTGCTCGGGGCGTCTCCCTACTGAAGAATTATGTTGCATAAAGCAGGCGCCACCATCTTGAACTGGCAGTGAACTTTGCTTTCTACATATAAATACAGATAGCAATCACACCCCAATCAGCGCAGAGGCTTCAGGGCATCATCTCAGCAACTCTAACTTTCCCATTACGATAATGTGATTTTCACTCAGTCTATAATATCAACAGCCATGAATAAAGCAACTGGCTCTTTCTGTCTCTCTCTTCCCTCCCCGCTTTCTCTGCCTCTCTCCCACCCACCTCAGTGTTTCTTTTCCTCCACACCCTCCTCTTCTGTCTCTCTGCAACCCCTCCTGGTGATCTCTGAGTCTCTGAGCACCTCCGCCCTCCTCTCCCACTACGTCTTTCTCCCCCTCATCCTCTGGGACTCACATTCCCTAAATACTAATGGCAGGGATTTGCTGTGCCCCATGGCTCAGTTAAGTTCTGCTCCCCAGCTCTGCCATCATCTGCCTTTGCCTGAAGGTGAGAAACTGCGGAGTGGGGGTGGGGTGGCCAGCTAGGCTTTCTGGGAGGGTGAGGAGCAGGGAGGCGACTCTGCTCCTTCCCTTCTCTCTCCCTCTTTCCTTAGGTACCAGGAGGGCTCTCTGCTAGGATTCCCATCAAGAATGCCAAAGCCAGAGGCTTAGGGACCAAAGGACCCAGAAGGGAGATCTGAAAAATTCCTGCTTAGGGGCAGGTCCTGGAGGCTCTGATTTTTCTGAGTATTGAGGGACCTAAATTCAACCAGATTCCAAATGCCAGAAGATTGTGAGTAGATACAGCTGGTGAGAGGGTGCTCTGGAGACGCCTGCAGAAAAGAGAGGAAACTGGCCCAGCGTCCTAGGGACACTTCTGAGTACGGCTCGGTCCTGAGCCTGAGGGCAGTCCAGACTGGAACTGCCTTTGCCAGGACATGTAAAGGTCCGCAGATCCTTGATCAAGGTGTCAGCCACTTTGTTGGAGCTCCTGGAAAGGGCTTCTCTTTCCTTCATGGACATTCTCCAGGTTGGTAGTGGTGCTGGCGGGGGAATTTTCTGTGCCTTTGGTCATTCATGTATCTATGCCCCCTGAGTTTGTATGCCAGTTCTTTTAAACTAGCATTGGGATCGTGGACAGTGCTCTTAACTTCTCTAAGCCTCAGTGTCCTCTTCTATAAAACGGGCATAACAATATACCTACTGAACAAAATAATGTATGTCACAGTGCTCAGCACATTGTTAAATGTTCAATAACTGTTAGCAATTATTACTATCAGCAATTATTGAATAATCATCTGCTATGTCTGTGACACAGGGCACCATGGAGGTTAGGAGCCTGGGGTTTGGAGACAGATGATCTGAGTTTGAATCCTGCTTAGCGCTTATTAGCTTTGTGGTCTTGGAAAAGTCACAGCCTCTCTGAGACTCAGTTTCCTCATCTGTAACAGGAATAATAATAGTCCCTACTTCACAGGGTTGTTGTGAGGGTTACTCAGGCACATCTGATGCTTGGCACGGTGTTGATATGTGACACGAGCTCTCGAATATTCCCAATTAAGGGTCAGTCACTGTGGATCCAGCCATGAGTAAGGCCAACACTGTCCTGGCTGTCCTGGAGACCACACTCTCCCTGTGGGTTATAGTCTGGGCCCCTGGCATTTTCTAAGGCAAGTGTCCACTAATGGCCTTGTCTTTTCACTCCTGTGGAGGATGAGGACTTGCTTCAATTTCCCTGGCTATAAGAACTGCAACCTTTTCAGTTGCCCTCCTTTCTGAGGTTGGAGCTAGGACTCCTGCCCAGCCCCTTTCCTGGATGAGGAGAGAAGGTGACCCTTGAATGTGCTCTCTTAGGCAGGGGAGACAAATTAGAATCACATCCTCAGTCTGTCCATTTCTGTAGCTCTAAGTGTTTGGGGGTCAGTTTGCTTGCTTACTTTTAGTTTCTCTTGGTTTCTCTCTGAAGGCTGCTTTGGAGCCATTCCAAGCTGATTTCATGTGAAAGAGGAGAAAGAAGACTCT